CCAAGCTCCACAGTGGGGAGGGGGTATGGCCTGGTCCTGATACAGCTGGGGAGGCCAGGGTTGTGGGGGGAAGAGGGTGTGGCCCAGCCCCGATTCAGCTGCAGGGGGGTATGGATGGCCCAGTCCTGATCCAGGTGTGGCGGGGAGAGTGGGGGCATGGTGTGGCCCCAACCTATCTTGTGGGGCTTGGAGTTTGAGTATTTGGCAGATGAGGAGGGTGGCAATATTAATTGCCACCTGTCTCCCGCTGCCAAATTTCCCAACCTGTGGAGAGCCGAACAGGCTGGATACCGTAGCCCCACCATGAGCCGCGTTTGGCCTGCCAGCTGTAATTGGCACATCCCTGTCCTAAAGGATCTGGGGAGCAAGGAGAGAAGGTTTGGGTCCATTAAGGAAATGGGTAACTTAAGCATGGTGCACAGGACTCCTGCAGTTCTGGTTGCGTTTGCATGCTGTGCCCATCACCCTGGTGTCCAAGGGCTCGTTTGGAGAGAGACTTGAAACGAAAGCATTGATTTGCTTGGCAGTGTTATTCTTTGTGTTCTTGAATATAATGCTCCAGGTTTCTTGGGAGAAACTATTAAGGGCCCCGATTCTGCATCATCCATCTATTGGAACAACAGATACACTAGAGCAAAAGGGTGGGTCCTCAGTGATAGGTCTCTTGATTTGCGTCAGCTGAGTTTCTCACCCAGAAACCAGGCCTAGGTGGAGGTCAACTGTCCTTTGCTAGAAGAAGGGAGATGCAGACTTCACCACTCTAAACACGAACAGCAGGGCTTCGGGAAGAACGCTCCAAGCTAATGAGAGAAACGGAGACTTGAAGAATAGCAAACGCTCTCAACACATGAATGAGCATAACTTTAGCAACTTCCCTGGGAAGCAGCAGTTCCTTCCATGGTGCAGGTTGAGAAATAAGACTGTGACAGGTCCCATGGCATCATTGGGTAGAGCTAGGGGCCTCGCACACAACCTGGCACATAAACCTAGGCACCTAAATTTATTTTTAGCACCAAGGTAACTGTCCTGAATTTCTTCCCCCCAAACCCTGCTCCCAAATAACATCTTTCCAGAGCACGGGGGAGAGGGGGTGTGCTCTGAATGTCCCAGACCTCTGAAAAACAGTCCATTGATTTAAGCACCTACGTGGTGTTAAATGGACTCCTGGCTCGTTCCTCTAGACAATGAGGTCACCACTGACACCAGATTCTGTTCTTCTCATCTTCATCTGTCAAGGTCTGAGTTTGAGTTTCCCCTACATCTGAATTCAGGTGTCAGTAGGTACAGCAGTCATCCCTGGGGGAAAAAGCATAGGAGTAGTAGTAGTGTTGCAGTGCACCATTTGGTACAGTTTCATCCAGGAGGCATAGAAGGCCATGTTCCCCTGCAGGAGAAATCTGAGGTGTAGCAAAATGTCCCCCCACAGGGTGGACATTAGCTGTTGCCATTACCTTTTAGAAAACCCTTTAGGATCAAAAATAGTCCCAAGCAACTGGGACATTCATGTCTTGCCCAAAAGGACCAGGGGAGGCATACTGCATTGCAGAAAGGAACATACTTTGGTGACTTATAAGGAAGCTAACCTCTTCTTGAGGATGGAGGAGTGGCTTCAAGTCCAGGCTTCACTATTGCAAATCATTAGGACATATAACATCTTCTGTGCATTTTTTTCATTATAAAAAAAAAAAAGAAGAAGAAATCTAGTGACAGGGCATAATTAAAATCAAGGAAGGAGGTAAAGGAGAGGATCTTTACCGTAGGTACTATGGGAAACCATTGTGGGTTTGGTTTTTGGGGGGTGGGCATTAACATGGATACAGACATAATCAACTAGAAAGTGGAAGGGAAGCCTGATCTCTCCCCAGAAAACAAATTTAGGATAGAATCATAGAAAAACTGTGCTGGCAGGGCCCTGATGATGTTGTCCTGCCTCTGTTCAAGGCAGGCTCCATCCCCGTCATGTCTTTCTATCCTGCTCTTAAAACTTTCAGGATGGAGACTCCACAGTCTGGGTAACCTGTTCCAGAGTTGAATCACCCTCATAGCAAGAAAGATGATCCTAATATCCACCCTAAGTGTCCCTTGTAATTTAGGATTGTTGCTATTTGTCCTGTCCCCTGTGGACACAGAGGCTAGTCTGTTGTAATCATCTTAATCGCTCCCCTTCATGTATTTGAAGACTATTGGCAAATGCAGTCTTTTGTATCTATTGCATGACATAAAGGAAACAATATGTTTAAAATACAAGCTAATTTTAAAAAGGATGCATTTGCTCATGGTACAAAGCTATTCATTAAAGCAATATCCATCAACTTTTATTTTATTTTTAATTTCATGCCTAAATAAAAAATTATCTATGGTCCCGTCTTAAAAGGCTTTCTTCTTCTTGCTTTTGCAGCATCAAACCACCAAACCAGCTTAAATCTTTCAGAGTGATTTTTGTGTTACAAAATGTCCATTGACCTGAAAAGATGTGCGAAAACTGGAATGAAAGGGCAATTGTTTCTCAGTCCCTGTGTAATGTTTAATCTGTGAGGTTTCCAGTTTCATATTGTTGCCTTTTTTTTTTTTTCCAAAGCTAGAATAACAATGAAGACTTGACAAAATATTCCATTCCCCGTTTTTTTTCCCCCTCAGGTTTTTGTAGATCTTGTGTGTAATGGAAACAAATATTTCTGTCTGTGAAAGGAAAATAACACTAATTTAAAAAGCGTTTATTAAACTTGAGGTACCTACCGTGGATGGAAAACACTCCCTGGTGTTTCAAGAACAATGCTGTGTGAAGCCAAAAATCTTCTAAAAGAAGAAATACTTAGATTTTTTTTTCCCCTCTTTTATCTTTCTGTGGAAGAATGGACTAGTGAGAGTGACTGAGATAATCTGGCTTTGTTCCTCTGTCTACCTTTTGGTGGCACTGAGGTTTTCAATGCGGTCTTTTAATTTTGCATGCCTCTGTCCACTTCTTAAAAATCGAGGACTATTTTTCCTCACTTCTCCCCCCCTTCCCCAGCCCCCGAGTGGTTCTGAGAAGCCACAGCTTGAAATAGTTGTGTATGCTCATCTTCAAAACCCCAGTTTGGACAATCTGAGTGCTCAGTATTAGAGGTTGTTACTGAAACCTAGGCTGACTCTTCTTTATGAGAGAGCTTCTTCCTTCGTAAAATAGGAAGAGTGCTTTATCCTCCCTGTGCTTTCTCCCCAGTCGTGGTCCAGCTGGCTGTTGTCTCTCCTGCTATAGCCCAGCTGTTCGATCCTCTCCAAACATAAGTTGTACGCTTGTGTGCTGACCCCTGTAAATTGCACAACCATTTACATAGACTCAGGGCAAACTTCTGAGGCTCTGTTTCACTTCTAGGCCTGTAGGCTTGAAGTGAACAGTCAGGGTGTCCAGACTGGAATAAGCTCCTTCCAGAGGTGGTGCAGTCACCTACCCTGGAAATCTTTAAGACGAGACTGGACAGATACCTCGCTGAGGTCACCTGATCCCCAGTTGCTTTTCCTGCTTGGTGCAGGGGGCTGCAGCTGATGATCTTCTGAGGTCCCTTCCAGCCTTACAATCTATGAATCTGTGTTGCTAAGGCAGGAAGCTGCTCATTTACTTGCCCTGGTGACAAGGGCGTTACACATGGCTCCGAGTATCCCTTACCATGTCCCATGCCTCGCAGATGTTTCTTCAGTGGCTCAGGCTGGGATCCAAGCTCTGCAGTTTCACATGGGACTCTCCCTCCCCACCGGAGCCTGTGGTCCCAGTGCCCTGATACTGGGCTCTTTTCATTCAAACTCCAGCCTCCAAGCCTACGCTCTGGGATCAGCCCTGTCCCCCTGGGCTACAACCCCTTATCCATTTGCCCGGGAGCTTTGCTAATAGCTCCCCAAGGCTCAGGGCCCCATCCTGCTGGAGCCTCGCTCCCAGCTCCCTATTGCAGCCTCATGCATACAGTGAGCCTGGGTGCAGGTCCAGGTCCCTCCACCTGATTTCCCGTGAGTCTGGGCTCCCCCTGCTGCATCTCAATACCCACCAGGGATGTGGGGGCTGAGGTTATAAGGCACCCCATACTAACCTTTCACTGGAGAGGCAACTGGCCTGGCATTTCTGGGGAACTGGCCCACCACGGGCAGTTCCCAGTAGGCCATCCTGCCCCAGCAAGGTGCAGCTTTCTGTCGTGCCCGAGACAAGGAGCCAGACCTTGCCAGAAAAAGCTCCCAGTGTACATAAGTCCATGGAGCATAAGTGTATACCTTGTACTGTTGGATCTTATCCTTGTCTTCACTTGGATTGAGGTACCTGGGGAGGTAAGAGGTGGTAAATAGTGAAGCAGGAGGTATGTTCCTTAACTAACACTTGACAGTCAATGTCTGTTCTGCGTGCCTGATTTTACAGACAGCAAATAAAGTAAAGGAACCTGAAGGGGAGTCCCATTTCTTCAAAGTTCCTGCTTTCCTGACGGTCTCTGGACAGCTCCATCTGGAAGTGATGGCTGGGTAAGAAAAGATAGAAATCTCATCTGTTGCTGTATGGCAGTGCCATGAATCTTGGTCAGAGCCTCTGTTTGATGGGCATGTTACGTATTTTGCATCTGGCATGGGCTTGCTAAGCACCCAGGTGATCGCTGTTGCTGGTGGAAAGTCCAGCTCCAGTTTTTTGGATACGGCTGGATCCTTTTGAATTCTGTTCTGAGGGGCAAGATATAAATTAAAGCATGCTCCTCTCCATCCATCATAAGGTACCCACTGGCTCAGTAGGAAGGTCCACAAAGACTAAGTGGTGGTGGTATTTATCTTGAATCCTCTGGTCCCATCCAGCATCTCCCAGTTGCAAAGCCTGCTTCTGCTCGTTTTTTTCCTGATCTTGCATTCCTTTTTTGTTCTCCCCTTCCTTTGCCTCTCTGTCTCCCCTCTTTCCTTCCCTTTGCATCTCCTCCCATGCAGCAATTTACCAGAATAACCAGGTGCCTGGTTCACAGGCTCCACAGCAAAGGGGAGCACTGTGGAGGGGATGGGCAGCACAGCACAGGTCTCTGCCACTCATCCTCCATGATAGACCAGACCAGATCGAGTCCATGGGCCATAGGTTGTCAATCCCTCTTTTTCTAGTGCTGTCAGTAGGTTTCAGTGTTAATGTCACAGTTTGATTGGTGAGGGAGGTGAGCATTCACACCTACCAGAGCCACAGTTTGTCTGGTGGCAGGGCCAGGGATCATCTCTACACTAATTTTTCTTGCAGTCAGCCAGCTGGTGGGTGGGAGCCCATGAACAATTTACCATGGAATAAAAGGGATGAGGATTTACCATTCCCCTGCAGCTCTGCAGGAGCTTGCTGTGTGCAAGCTCTTACCTTTGGTAAGCAGGAGCTATTCCATAGCAACTTAATCCTCAGTGAAACAAAAGGGGTAAGGTAGTGGTTTAGCTTCCTGTCATTGTGGGCTGAGAGCATGCACATGGACAGTTATCATGGAACAGCTAATATATGATATCTCCTCACCCCCTTTTACTCTGCATTATATTTTTGTATACCCACATCTTAATCAGGAGATTGACCCAACAGCATTAAATCACTGCAACCTCTTGAATGTGGATCTGGTTCTGTTGATGTAAATATGCTTCATCCATACTGCAGTGATTTAATCAAGCCTGTTTGCCTGCTGATTGAATTAACTCTGGCCAGGTTTGGAAAGACAGCACCATGTCAGCTTAACTCTCTCAGTACCCAGTGAGTGCAGTCTTGGCAACTGTGGCAAAACAGAAACTGCTGGTTTAAACAAAAATCTAGTTCCTGTGGGATGGGAATATGCAGGGCTGTCCATACAAATATATATGTGTTCTGCATCCAGCCCCTAAGCCAGGTGCTTGAAAACTCAGAATAAAGAGAATGAACTTGGGAGTCAAAAGCCTTGTGTCCTCTTATGGAGTTCTGGGCATATCTGCTGTGTGACCTTGGCTAAGATGCTCTTGGTTTGCCCACAGAACAACTAGATTTATCTGCTTCAGGCTGTTATTGTTAAGTTTAACTCACTAAAAGCAGTGCAGTTGCAATCCCATTGCAGTTTGTGAGGGTTTTGCTGTAGATTTTAGTGGGACTAGGATGCCATCCTTAGAGATCAGTGGATATGCGAGATGCCATAGATGAAATTGGACTCCTCTGACTTGCACATGCTCCTTTCCAATAGCCCACCAGATCAGTCGGGGTCAGCTGAGATGCTAACACTACTGATCCCTAAATTTCCTATTAGGATGTCTTTGAAACACTCCCAGGCATGTTGCCCATGCTGTTGGGAAAGAAGTAGAGCTTTGCTTGGCAGCCAGAGGCTGTTGTCTTGTCTCTGGCATTTGCCTGAAGAGTGGCCGAAAGGGCACAAGGGTGATGTGAGACAGCTTTGGTTATATGGTGTTTTATTTGTGCACTGGTGAAAAGCAAGTATTTGTATGTGAACCTGGGATTATCTGGCATTCACCCCTGACCTTTATTGAAGGGCACACTTGTAAATCAAAATAAGCATGCTGTCAAATTCTTAAGTTAAAAGGCCATCTCACTGTTGCGTTAGATCCCTTTCTTCAAATGCTGCATTGCCTGGCACAGGACAGAGGATTAAATCAGACAAATAAAGGGCCCTTTCATCTAAATATTGCTTCAGTAGTGTTCTTATACCCCTCATTTTCTAAAGGGACCAAAACATGGAGCCTTTCATCGTACAGTACATTATACTACAGCTTCATGCTCTATTCTGCAATAACAAGTTGTTTTTCTAGGCATTTTAAATGGATCGAATAGCAACTAAATTTAGATGAGCTATATTTGCTTCTGATGATGTGTGGTTGTTCCGTGAACCTGCTCCTCTTATTTTTTTTAAGCACAGCATGTATTTGAGGCTTAGAACTGAAATGTTATTGAATAGCTTTAGTCATCAAAATAGATGGAGTGAAAAGTCCACGTGGATTTTAAAATATCAATCATAGTGATGCGTCACAGTGAGATCAAGGTATTAACCTTTAAAGTACGGGCTCATCCTCCAGGGTAAACAAGTTGTTTACAAAAATGGTAAGAAATGTTGAAAAGAAAGGACTCTCTCTCTCTAGTTATTTTTCAATTAAAAACTAACGCTGGCCAAAACCAGAAAAAATAGGTTGCGTTCCTGGTTCTTGAAAACCAAACATGTCTTTTGTCAAACTAAAAAAACATTTGAAAGATTAGAATTTTCATTTCCAAAAAATGGCATTTTTCATAAATGATGCTTTCAGCTGGAAAATATGGGTTACTGTATTGTATAGTATACTGTAGATTCCTATGGGCTGATGGATTTCTATGGATTTGGGAGGAGAGAGGTAGGCAGCCATGTCCGGAAGGCCCTATATGATCTACCCAGTTACTGCCCTTCCTCCTGCCACTTCAGGTCCTGCTTTGGGAATTGGGCCAGTTAAAACGTGGGGGAACAACAGATGTGGAAGAAAGAAGTGGTAGAAGTGTCCATTCGGTGATTGCTGGGCTTGGGAGAAGGCCCTGAGAGATATAGGAGAGAACATCAAAGGGCTGGCTGCAAGTGGCTTTGGGTTGGAGAGTACTAAGCAGCTTAGAGCAAACAGATCTTTTGTCAGTAAATTGTCTCTGAATCTCTCCCTTTTCTGCATCTCATTGGGCAAGGCAACATATGCTCATAGGACAGAGCAATAAATTCTGGTGCATATCATGCTGGAGCTTATTGCTCTCAGGCATCCGTTTACATGTACACCTGGGACTGCAGCACATTGATCCAGGTCAAAGCAACCCTGGCTGACAGGGGGCCCAGAGGTCAGCTTGCCTGCCCAGGGCTGCTTTGCACCAGCTCAGTGTGCAGTGGAGAGGCTGGCTGGGGCATGAGGGTGCTCCAGTCCAGGTCTAGCTAGCAGGTACTGAAGCACCCTCATGCCCCAGTAGTGTCTACATGTGCATAAAGAACTCCGCTGCAGGATAGCACTTATATTTACAAGTACTATCATGTGGCAGAATTGATTAGTTTAATCTGTCCTATTAGCACCACCCATACAGATGGTGACATTTTAGTGCAGACCTAATTAACTCTGCAATAGCTGGGTGCTTTGTTTATATACCGGCTAGCACAGTGCTTTCAGGCGCCACAGCAGTAATCATCATTGAGCAGTATGCCCAGCATTCACCACTTGCAGGTCCCTCTTTCTCCCTTTTTCTCAAAGAATTAAAATGATGGCTTTTAGGAATACATTTCATAAAAGCTGTGTTGTGTGTGCTTGGCATTGAAGGCAAAGTCACACAAACATACCTCCTATCTCCTTCTATGGGACTGGATTTTGCAAGGTGACTGTGAGAGGTTGAACATTATTGCTTCAGTAACCTCATTTAGTACTGATTTAGTAACCCTATTTGCAGAAATGCTCATTTCATTATTGTTCTTCACACTGGCTGTATCTTGGTTAGCCACATTGCATCTCTGAATCATCACTTTTTGGCCATGGACCCTGTGCTTAATAGATCCCCAGAGGTGTCGTTACTCAGAAATATCCCTCAACCTCGTGGACATCCAAAATGCTGATTAGTCAATGGCCAAACTGTGTTGGAAGCTTGTTTGAACAATGGGTCCTATTGACCATTTCTTAAATTGCCTGGATTTGGGCTCAACAGTCAATAGTCCTCGTATGTACACAATGACCCATGATCCTCCTGAACATAAAGACCCCTTTACGGCCATGAGATAGGATGGAGGTCCATGACGCACATGGTGATGATTCACAGATGCATTGTGGTTGACCAAGACACTGTCACTGCAGAAATGAAGTCCGAGAATTCATGACAAATGCTACCCCTCTGTGGCTGTATAGGGCACTGCACACTAGTGGTCTCAGCAGGGGCCTCTGGTGGGGGTTAGTCCTGCCGCGGTGTTCAGGGTTTCTGTAGTATTTTCTTCCTCTTGCCTCTCAAAAGTTGAAGGAACCTCGAGTCAGAGTCATTGAATCCAGCCCCTGGCCCTCATCACACCCTTCTTCAGCACCTCTCCCTCCTTGTCCTTGCTCCCTGCCAGCTTCTATGACATTTGCCACCCTGTGGTTCCTGCCAGGGTTTGCCTGTTTCCATTCTCCTTTCTAGCCTCATCTTGTCTGTCCTTCCAATAGTACATATCCAGATCTTACATCCACAGCCCCCTCATCTTCCTCCTGACCTTTGCCCCAACCCTGATCCCTCTCTCCATAACTACTCTCTTCATTGAATGTCTCTCTCTCTACCAGTCTCCTTCCTCCTCCTGCCTCTGGCCATAACTTCATAACCATCCCACTTCTTGCCTTTTTGCTGTCTCTGCAACCCCCATTCCATCTCTAAAAAAAAAAGTTTTGGTCTTCTGTGACCTTTTCCAAGCTCCCTCCGTCCATCACCTGGCTTTCCTAGAGAGTTGGATCACTCTGAGGATGGTTTCTCCTCCTCTCGCACTTCCCACACTGGATTACTGTCCTGAAGGAGTTCGGAGCTTTTCCTCTCTTGG